GCTGAGGCGGTGGCGGCGCCTGGGGCCTGAGAAACTCCTGCCCGGCGCACCGAGTCTGCTCCCTGGGTGGTGCCAGGCGGGTCCCAGGTAAATAGGGTAGTGGGGGATTTGGGAGACCGCGGAGAGGAGTAGGCAGAAACCAGTCTTGGAATTTGCGGTCCAGTCCGCTTGGAGAAGCCGAGGGGCCCTCGCAGAATCTGCCCCAGCGAAGGCTGGCCCCGCTTGGCCATGGGTGACAGGCACCCTCTAAGGTCAGCGCCGTGGGGTCCTTAGGGGACACACCGCTCTTTCTGGGTCTGGGTTTGGCCTCGTCATCTGTTTGCTATTACAAGAGTTCAACAGCTGAACATTTATTTAAAAGTGTAGGGGGTTTTTTTGTTTTTTTCCTTAAATCCCGGCGGATTACAGGGGGGCCCAGTTCTGGCTGACGCTCTGATCGACTTTGCGCCCTTGAGAGGCACTTGATCGTTTTGTATTTCAGTTCTCATACTTGTGTGAGCAAAATGCAGTGTTTCTTCTGCAAGCGCACCGAGCCACGCTGTAGAAAGATACTGTTAGAATTCCTTTGGATCACCACGTCCCAAGGCCCACATCTCTCTGGAAGGTGACACCACCCAACAGTGTTTGAGGAGTACTTTAAACTCTGTAGATGGAAGGAGCTGGACAAACACAAGATAGCTGCCCAAGATTAGACAAGATAAGAAGAAACAAACAACTTTTAGGACCAGGTTTTTTGACAAGCTCCTTTGAGCATTTTATGCAAGTGAATTTGCAGTGGCAGTAGTAACAGTGGTAGTAACCAAAGCAAAACTATATTTCAAAGAATTTTTTTCCCCTAGCTTTAACATACTACCACAAGATACTGGGTTAGCAAAGTTTCTCCTTAGGATCTCGGATGGAACTATCCTAAAGTGACAAGTACATAATCATTGCATAGTATAGTACAAATAAACTTAAAGTAAAGCTGACTTTTCTGTGAGAGGTAGTAGGAATTAAGTTATCTCATTGGAGAGAAGGAATACTAGCATTATCACAAAAGCGAATGGGAGATGTACACAAATTTCTTTCAAGGATACAGGGTTTATAAAAATCTTTCTCGTGTTAATTGAAAAGCATAACACATACAATAAAGTGCCTGAATCATATGGGTGGTACAATTCATTGAATTTTCACAAAGTATGCGTATGCATGGATCAATTACGTAGATCAAGAAAGCACTTGAAAACACTGTGTCCCATAGACCACACTTTGTGCTGGCTTTCCAAAAGGTAATGGTTACCTCAACTTATGATATTATTAATGACTTTTACCTATTACTGACTTTACATTGAAGAACTCATATCCATTTCTCTATGTCTGGCTTTAGCTCAATATTGTATGAGAGATTTATACCAGTTATGTACCAGTAATTTGTTATTTCTCATTATTATACCCAGTATTTGGCCAGGAGCTTTAGTATTTGTAAATATTACCAATGCGGTTGCTGTGTCCATTTTATAAATACTTTGGTGAATTTATGTCTACATTTCTGTTGGGTATATTTTACCAGTGAAATGGCTGTTACAGGCTATGCAGATATATATTTATGGTGTACACTATCATAAAGTTTCAAATTGCTTGTGTTAGCTTTCACTTCCATTAGTAGTGTATGAGAATTGTGTTTCCTGCACATGCATGTGACACTTTGTGTTATGTCTTTCATTTTAGCCACTCATGTGTGTTTAGACTGATACTATGCTGGGGTTTCCCCTTAACTTCCTTAATGACTAGTGTTATCGAACACCTCTTCGATGCTTCTTTTGTATATCCTCTATTTCTGTAGGGGGCAGACAGTAAATGTAGGCAGTCCTTATTTTGTGGAGGTTCATTTAGCACAGTACTGTGCAAAGCTAGAACTACCAGTTTATTTTTATGCTTCACAAGTGTAAAACTGTCTATTGCATAGTCTTCTTGACTTTCCTCTTTAACTCCCTCTCACCATCTCTTTCAAGTCCTTAAAAATGTGAAAACCATTATTAATTCACAGGATGTACCAAAACAGGTAAAAAGTATAATGTACTTTTTCAGTTCTTTGAGAGATATTGTCTAATGAACTGTTTATCTTGAGATGACTTGATTGAATTTTCATGTCCGATAAAACATTTTCATGATGTAGGAAGCAGTAGTCAGTGGCTTGGGCCCTGAATCTCAACTGTAATGCCCTTGCTCAGGATGGAGCTCCTCTCTCTTTAAACGCCCACCTCCTCTTACTCTGGACTCCTGCCTTTTACGTACTACCACCAAAAAGTTTTCTTGAATATTAGTTAACACTTTCAATTTTTAGGTGGATTACAAAAATGAACTTAGTATATATTTGGATGGATATCTATCAATACTACTGAAAGGCTTGGAGGTGATCTCCATCAACTTTTTTTGCTATGGATAAGTGAGTGCTTTAGATGTCCTTAATTGTTAGCAAACACAGATTTAAGATAGGCCCACTTTTTTCCACCAAGGAGCTGCAGTTCTTAAAGCTTTTCTTATAAAGAAATTATGGTAAGATAATGTGCAGCAGTAGAAAACTAAGAGATTGCTCTTATTTCAGAAAAAAAAATCAATGAAATAGTTCGTTATGAAGTTTTAAAAAATATAGCTTCAAGCTGTTTGTATCACTTTATTCTTTTTTTCTTTTGTTTTCTCTGTTCTCTCTTTCTTAAAGAAGCAGCCTCAGCCGGGTGTGGTGGCGCATGCCTGTAATCCCAGTGCTCAGGAGGCTGAGGCAGGAAGATCACCATGAGTTCGAGACCAGCCTGGGCTACATAGTGAGTTCTGGGTCAGTCTCAACTACATGGTAAAAAAAAAAAAAAAAAAAAAAAAAAAAAAAAAAAAGAAACCTCTTTCTATGTTGTCCAGCCTAGGCACCAACTTTCAGGCCTAAGTAGTCTTCCCAAGTAGTTGAAATACAGGCATGTGCACCACTCCTGACCTGTGTCACTTTAAATATGTTTGAGGATGTGTTGTTTCATATCCTGAAATATTAGTATTTTAACCATCTAACCATAAATATCTTTTTAAAAATAAGTTTATTTTTTCCATAGTTTAACTGATAGGTATTTGTTTTTATCTCTAAGCTGGCAACATAAAAAACAGTCACTTTTAGGGCTGGGGATTTAGCTCAGTGGTTTGGTGGCCTGCCTTGTAAGCGCAAAGACCCGAGTTCAATTCCCGGTACCAAACAAACAAACAAAAACAGTCACTTTGAAAGGTTAGTTGGTTTGGTATTTCATAAAATGGATCACTGATGGGCCAGATGTACCATAGAACCTCTTTTTACCATTGGCAAAAGGACCTCTAGTTCTGATGTTGTTAATATCGAAAGTATTTTTACTTTAGATTTTATACTGTTTGAGATATATAAAACTTTTAGCATACTTTTGTTTTTTGCAGTTCTGCATTATGATGATTTGATTTATGTATAACTATTACCTTGAAAATTTCCTGGATTTATGTTTTGAAAACTACTCATAGGCAACAGGGTTTATTTTACTGGAACCCTTACTTCTGGATCTTGCATTATTATTTCTTACTGAAGCATAACAACTTCCTCTCTTCATATTTTTTTCCTGAGGATTTTGCTGCTGTGGAAAAAGTCTTGAACTGAAAAAAAATGAGTATGTAAATAAATTATATAAATCAATTAACTTTTTAAAACCTTTATTATGAAATACAGTACATGTAAAAAAAGTAAAACATATATAGTTGATTAGGTAAATGGAAAGCAAGTAAGTAACTACCATCAGAATATTTTTTATTTGAAAGAGCACTGAAAATTGTTAGTACTTGCTTTGATTATGGTTATTTTTAAAAAAATGTTCTGTGTGTGTGTATGCATGTATGTGAAAGAGATTCTTCATGTGGGTGCAGTGTTTTATTTGTATATATTTAGTGAAGTTTGTTAATGTTTTTACTAAACTCTTTCCTTAATGATTTATGTGTGTATGTATGTATATACCTGTATGTGCTTGCAATGATAATTACTGACAATTTAAATCTCCCTTTGTAATTGTGGAATCTGTTTCAGACTGTAGTTCTGTCAGTGTTTTATGCATTTATTTTGAGGTTGTATCATTCAAAATATATAACCTTAGGATTGGTCTCTCACCACTTGTATCTAGATGTCCCCCCAAGCCTCATGCAGTCATAGGTGGGGCTTTTTGGAAGTGGCTGGATCTAGGATGTGTGATGCTGGAAATAAAGATGTAATGCTGGAATTACAGATACCTCGCTCTCAGTGTGAATGTTACCTGCCCTAAGGGAAGATAGATTGGATGGAATGTAAGGGACATAAAGAGAACTGCTGGCTGCTGTTGCTTGCTGCTTACTGCCTTCTGTCTGCCCTGCTTTGCCAATGATTGTCTCCTCTGTAGTGCCCCTCTGCTGTGCCACTCTTCCTTGGAGCCAGATGACTATGGACCGAAACCTCTGTGAGCTGTCATTATGGGTGTTGGATATTTTGTCTCAGCAATGAGAATAGCAACTAAGACAATCACGTTTCCTATAAATCAAAAATTTTCTCTCCATTGTGGGTGACCCCCTTTGTCTCTAGTGATGCTCTTTGTTTTCATTGTCATGTTTCTTGAATCTTTTCTAATCTTTTCCTTTTTCCATTTTGATATATGAATCTGCCTATGGTTACTGTCTGGAGGGTTTTTTTTTATTCCAGTGGGAGATTTTGGTCTGAAAATTTTTGTTAATTTGGTGACTTCTTCCTTTATATTTTAGCGTTCTTTTATTTATTTATATATTTAAGCATTCTTTTAATCGTTATAGAAACTAATGTTTGTGCATGTAAAGTTTTGACATTTTGGAGACATTTTAATTTTTTAAATGACATAGTTTTCATAAAATGATTACTGTTATTATAAACTTTTATTCATTGTAGACAAATAAAAAAATGACAGTGAAAGATGACAGTGAAACATACCCTGAATTCTACCATCTTAACCAAAACAAGTTTCATTAAAATCAAGTGTACGGTATTTTTTTTCTCTTCCTAAGAGTGTTCAGTTAAAAAATAAAAGCCTGCTCATGTATCTGTGAAAAAAAAA